GGCTCCTGCGCTATTCCCTTGTTCTTTACATTTCTAAAATAACGGGTCTGAAAGGGGGAAAAGCCCTGGGCGCTCCTCCGGAGCGGGCGCGCGGCGAGGCGCCGGGAAGGGCCGGGAGCGTCCTCCGCTCTCGGGCGGCGCGGGAGAAGCCGAGCCCGGGCGCACCGAGCTGTGCACGCACCGAGTGCGCTGAATCGCCCGTCAGGCCTTCTGGGAGAGCGTTTATTTTGGTTCTTGAAGCTACTTCAAAGCTTCGCAGAGTAGGTTTACTTAAGTGGATGAGTCACTTTAATGCATTTTACATAACAAAAATCAAAGCCCGAGGTGGCCTTCCCGGTGCCCCGCCGCCGCGCCGAGCTGCGCGCTGCCCTTTGTTGGCGAGGCCCGGCCGGGCTGCCCTGCCCCGGCGCGTCTGCTCTTCGCGGGCCGAGCCTGCGGCGAGGGCCTGAGCGCGACCGTGTGCGCCGCCGCCGTGTCGGCGCGGATCAGAGGCTGCACAAGCCCACCCGGATGGGAAGAGCGTCTCAGGTTTCTGTCGCTGATTTACGGTAATGGCCCTCTTCGGATAATCGTCCGTAGAAATGATTGCGAATGCTTTTGGGCACGAAGCGAAAGGGTCAGTGCCATCTGTAGATCTTCGCTGAACTGACAGGTGATCCAACTGGATATTTTTAAACAGCACAAGTGGAAGAATTCCCTGAAGAGGCTTCGCCACTCATTCTTGTTAAGAAACCACACTCTTATTTATTTAATGCTTTCAGTGCTTTTGTAGCTCGGCCTATTAAGGGGGAACTCAAGTGACTGGTGGCTGGTCTCTTCCTGAAGTCACATTCTAAGTGTGCTGGGCTTACGCATTTTGAAAGTGTCGTTTTAAAGAGAATTCGCCCGTAGTGCTGTCGTTCGGGGGAGGCGGCGTTGCACTGGCGAAGAGCAGGCCTTTCTGAGCGCAGCCTGTGCCCCTTGAACGCGCTGGGGTGCGATCTCCGTGTGAAATCCTCACTCTAGAAGGTCGGCAGTGAGGCTTTCCTAAAATAAAGGTAACTAGATTTTCACGGCCAGACACTTACTAGGGATGAGAAACACGTACATGCTGGGCTAAAAGGAGGAGGACGACCCCACCATTTATTTTCTGTGAAGGGATTTGGCTTTCTTTTTAACAATGGAAATACCAGGTATTTTCACATTGTCGAGGCATTATTTCCTGAACAAAGAACAGATTTGGTAGAGCTAGGCCAGCCTCCCATAGGTGCTGTTAGCAATGTTTTTGGATGGCTTTTGCGTCTACTAGTGTTTCCTTGAGAGGTAGCCAAACCGTCTTCTGGGAAGGGAGAAACGACAGGTGACATATGTCCTTGTTAGACTGAGAATAAGTTTTATGAAATTTTTAAAAATGGCATTAATTTCGTCAAAGATGTTGCCGTTTGGTTTTGGAAAGATTTCATTTGTGAGGATAAATCTTTTGGAAAAAAATCAAGTTTATAAAAGCTGGGTAAAAGAATAGTAGCAGTCAGTAAAGGCAAATTAGTATGCCTTTGTGTGTACGTGGATCTGGAGATTAGTAATTTTTTTATTGTTGGCCAACTTATTTTTCAAAAAGTAATAGGAGAAGTTTTATTATCAGAAGAGGGAGAACATGCCATTAACACGCTATCAAATTAATTAGGTACTAATTGAAGTTGGAATGAATTACAATTAGTCATTCTGTTTTCAAAGTGTTAATGATAGAAGGAGGGCTTAAGTTTTATTATAATTAAAGGTAAATAGTGTGTCACTCTAAATAACTGCCTTAATTTTCCACTGTTCAATTTAACAGAAATTTGAATACAGCATATTTTGAATTAAAACAGTTAAACTATTCTAAGAAGTAATACTAAAAACCTGTAGTAGTATTTTTTTCAGACAAAGGAATTTTGGTAACAATTCTTTTTCTGCATTGGATATTTCCTTTGGAAATATTTGTCTCAGTAGGGTGTGACACAAATACGTGATATGGTAGCAACCACCTAATACATATTGGTTGTGTTTTAAATAGAAAATATATCATTTTTATATCCTATTATGCATATATTATTTTGGTGTTTTACAAATGTAGTTTTCAAAAAATACAGCTCTTTTTTCTAGAATTAATTTCTCTGCACATACGTTAGAACACGTCTACTTTAAAATTCAGAATTACGTATATGATAAACAGTACTAATGTTAATTGAAATGTTTTTAATTTTAGAACTTATTCATAAACCAGTTGTTTAAAGCATTGTAGTTGTACTGTTCACGTTAAACTTTTATGTCAGTCCTATTAAAATGGCAATCAGTGAAAAGTAATTGGCTGACAGCTCATTAGTGAATGGAGATTTTTAATATACACTATAGAATGGTGTAAGTATATAACTAACCGATATAGACGTCCACAGAAAAAGCATAAAACCTCGTAAAAGGCTAGTGTTTTGAGTATTATTTACTTAACATACAATTTTCTTTCCATTGTTAGACATATTTGTATTTAAAGGCCACAGAAAAGAAATTTCCATGTATTGTGGCATTGGAATGGCTATCTATTCCATGTGTTAGAGTGACATAGTTATTCTCACTTGAGTTTGGCAATTTCTATTTATGTGCTTTATACTCAAACACAGAGAAATGTGCCTTATAAAAATGGGCTAAAATATTAAATATATGAAAATCCTAAAAAAAATGAACACTAACAAATCTTTTGTTCAGACCTTTAATTTATTCTCATCATCTTGGCCATGTAACACATATTATTCTACAGGTGTATACCTAAACATGAAATGTAAATATATTTTCCGTATGAGTAGTATCATGATGTTAAGTGTGCTGTTGTTACAGGTTGGTATATATGTAGCTATTTGCATTAGCATTCCAATGAGTATTAGGAAGACTGAAATAAATATAATTTTAAAAAATTTGAGGAAAGATACAAGAAGCTGAGCTTATAATTACTTATAAAAAGGAAATAAATGTTCATTATCTTTTTATGGCTTGCATTAATTTTAATTTAACAAATACATATAAAACCAGACTGTAAAGCATGTAGTTCATTTATAAAATAGATATAAACTCATCACTCTTTTACTTCAAAGAAAGCTGCTGGATAGACATCTTTCTGTTATTAATCCAACAATAACAAGAGAAATAATATAACAACCTAGTACTCTTCTAGAGCTTGCAGTTTTTGCAAAGCATAAGCAAATGCAAATTGTGTTTATTCAAATTTGGTATATGCTTTTATAGTGTGTATTCATTAAAAACAACAATGTATTTAGGTTTTCTAAAAAATAATTTAAAAATTTTGCTCACAAAACCTATATTATCTGACTTACGTATTTTGTGGTGCATCATTATATAAAATTTATAGCTAGGGTTTTTCTTCTCTGTTTTTCAATACAGATGCAAATTTCCGAGAAAGTCATCCGTTTTTCTTAATTCGTGCCTTATTTCCTAGTGTGTATCTTCCAGCTGTTTGTAACTTTAAACTGGAGACTTAAGAGGGTAGTATAAAATATATATTTTTGTAACTATGCAACTTGTTAATCTTTTTTAGTGGCTTATGTATTTGGGCATTACCAGCTTTCACATAAGCATTGATAGAATTTTGAAAAAAAGTCAGAATGTATTTCCATATTTCTAGAAAGTACCGTTGAAACACCAGCTTTTCCTCATGTACTCCAGGAGAGCTGTCCGGATGAAGCTGCACACAGCCACTGAGCTGCTTACTGTGAGAGCTCGGTTCCATTATTCCCAGCCCGCGTGTACTTACAGCTTGCAGTGTGCAGCAGACCTGGCGCGTCAGTGCATCCACCCCGCCTCGCATGCATGGGATCTAAGCAGGGCCACGGGCATCCCAAGCCTTTCAAGCAGTTGTTTTTCCATCGCTTGGAGCTGGGCCTCAAAGGCAGCCATGTAGCTTACACTTGATTCACTTTTTCTTTTGTGTGCATTACCACATGAACATGATAGTGTCATATTGTTTATGGCATGGAAAGAAAAAACTGATTCACATGATTGTCAACAGAGTAGTAGGGGTTAGTAGTTTGTGAGCAAAACGGGGTAAAGATGCTGTATTTGCCGTGTTTCCCTTGGGGTCCAAAAGATTAACATTGCATAATTAGATACTTTGTCTAGTTTGTGTACTTACAGTATTCTGTTTAATGGACAGTATTTTGCGTGTGAAGCCATACCTCTATGTGTATATGCATACATATGTGGATTACAAAGAAAGCCTGTGTAAGGTATGTTCATGAACAGGCTTCATGCTAGCATATTTCTGGCAACCCACAACTGTCTTCAATGTTTAAATCTCATTCAGGGTATTTTTATAACACTAGCATTTAAGAGTAATTGTCAAGAGAATGACAGGACCCCTTGTATACAAAAGCAACTTGAAAATGCTCAAATCCTGTAGAGATTAACAGGCTTGGTGCGTAACAGAAAAAAGAAAGACAGATGTGCCATCTTTTAACAAAACAAGGGTAAGGAAAAACTGTTGCGCTCCTATCTTGGGCACCTATTAAGAAGTTGTTTGTCTATTAAACCATTTTACTTTCGCATTTGGATATGCTGTGCTTTGAAATCTGTAAGAAGTACATGTACTTGACAGTGTCATAGTTTTGAAATGAGAACAAACGTGCAGAGGTTTTAGAATCGTATCTGTGAAATATAGACTCAGGTGTTTCTTCTTAGCAATCTGCATCTTTTGAAGTAATTCAGTACAAAAGAATTAGCTTCTCTGGGCAGTCAAAAACGAGTCAAGGAGTGGCTGTTGCTCTTTTCAGTTCTGTCGTTCACTTGTATAGATTCTAACAAGATTATAAACAAAGAAAAGATTGATATTGCGGTCTCAATATACCAGCACACTTTCATTTTTCTGTTCCAGTAATTCAGAATCAGGCTGTTTTATGTAAAGCAATATTTGAAGTTCTCATTGAATATGAATGTGGGATATTTCTGGCTAAATGTTATTTTAACATTTGCTTCTCCTGATTTTTCTTTAACCATATGCTCTGTGGATTAAAAAAATTAGGATACATTTAAAATTCTATATTGTAAGTGGAAGAGAAATTTAAACTAGACATAATGGCAGTGGAAAATAATGGTGTTGGCCATTTCAAAAGCTTCAGTTCAGAGGATAATCTCAGTATCTATTTTAGTTCTTTTTCCTAGGTAATTAAAAATTTATTGTGGTGGTCTCCTGGCAAATGAAGAGACTTAATTCCTGTATTTTCCTATGCAAATAATTAATTCCTAGTTTTTCTTTTGTGCTCCTACATGCATATTATTACCACTAATCATAATTTATAATTTGCACAGAACATGAAGTCTTGTGGGAAAATTTTGGAATTCTTTTCCTGCAGGTAACCATGACCCGACTGTTAGAAGTTATTTTCTTTTATACAGTGGACATTTCCATTTAAGGGAATTTTTGAAGGGATTTTTATACACCGATAAATCTCCAGCACCTAATTGACAGTTCCCTCAAACACGTCAAGCAGTGTAGACAATTGTTTCCTTTGACATTTGCCCACATACT